TAGTTCAGTTTCTCTATAAATTTACCATTAATACCAAATGCACATTGATGCAAGACCAGCATATGAGCCCCTGTGTCAGATGAACAAGATTTTTTTTGGAGCATTAATCCACTCCTTAATAAAAGGTTATAAAGATTTTAAAAAGGTTTATGGAAATTATATCTTATGGTCAAGATGACTAAAATTTAATAAATTTGCTTACAGAATTTTAAAAGACACATTTAATTGGCTTTATGCTATCTTTATTAGGGCTTATTGTTTGGGAAGTTAAATTTCCTCTCTCAAAGAATATAGGTTTTTGCTTCTTTTTGAAATTGTTATCACTTTGGCTAAATGAATGACTTATTTTACAATGACTTGTGATCCTATATTGTGATATCAAGTGTTTTAAACATTTTATATTTGACAGACTTTCTGAAATCAAATTTTAACTTCAGTCCTCATTAATCTTTGATATTAGGTCTCTTGAAGTCAAAAAGAGATATTCAGCTTATTTGATGTAGTAAAATCATACAGGAAGTAGTATCAAATATGAAATGGGGTTTTGCCTTCTTTGGATTATATTTATATAAATCTGTTATTAGTATATGTTCCAGAATGGTATGAGATTCCTCTGATTCTAATATGTTTTAGTGAATTATCAGTAGTAATGGTGATTCTAGTGTTAAATTGTATGCCACAGAAGTAACCCAATTTCCTTGTCTTTTGTGTCTCTAACCATGACTTTTTCATCTAGTTGTTTTACTTTTATTCTTTTCAAAAGTTGTTTTTTATAATCAGCCATAGGACTCTGACAGGTGTTTCGAATGCAGGTTTCTAACAACTTTGGAGACTGCGACACTAGAATAGAGGAAAAACTTGTAAGACCCTCATAGAAAGCTAATGTGTTCATAAACATAGAGCAGAACATGAGTTAATTACATAGACTAATGAAAGACTGAAATAATCTTTTTATGATTTTGTTTGAAATGTTGCTAATTCTTTTATTTCTGAGTCCTGAAAACCCATTTTCTTTGAGCTGTTTACAGCTTTTAACAATTGGGTCAACTACACTCCTGTGAGCAAAATCTGAAGCATATTTCTCTCTACCTGATTTCTCAGAATTTGAAAACTATTTGCAAGTATATTTGATTTATAGCAGTATAATTATTTGCTTAAGTTCAGTAAGAATCATTTTCTTTTGTAATAGGATGCAATTGGAGACACTGTTTATTTTACCAGTGTCTTTATGAAGGCTTTCATTGGAATGGCATACTTTTAAATATAAACAGATTGTTTTAAAGAATTGAAGTTGACTCATAGAGCCAAACAAAGCCCTTTGGGAAAGCTGGCCTTATACCTTGTCTACACAGTCCCTGTACAGGTTCCTGACCTGCGGTAAGTAAAGAATGTCACTTTCTGACATGCCCAGGAGCCCTAAGTTTTCCTGGGACCTTGAGGTGAGGAATTCACCTTATTAATACAAGTATTTGCAGGCACAGGCTGGGTTCAAAGCATTGCAGTCATCTGAGATTTCTTATGGAATAAAGTTCCAGTAAAGCCAATTAAAAGAAAAGAGCCTATATGGCAAATGGTATTTTTTTTTTTTTTTTTTTGCTCAGGCCACGTATAGTAAAACTAACATTTATTTTACATGTAAATTTGTCTTATGATTTGTCTTTAGTAAAAATGGAGAGTGAAAATTTATGTTTCAAAATAAACTAGACTACACCTATTATTCTAGTCTTATGTTTTAAAATTATTCTTTTTTTTTTTTTTTTTGAGACATAGTTTGCTCTTGTCACCCAGGCTGGAGTGCAATGGCAAAACCTCAGCTCACTGCAACCTCCACCTCCCAGGCTAAAGTGATTCTCCTGTCTCAGCCTCTGGAGTAGCTGGGATAACAGGTGAACACCACCACACCCAGCTAAATTTTTGTATTTTTAGCAGAGATGGTATTTCCCCATGTTGGCCAGGCTAGTCTCAAACTCCTGACCTTAGGTGATCCACCGCCTTGGCCTCCCAAAGTGCTGGGATTACAGGCATGAGCCACCGCACCCAGCCCAATTTTTATTATTTTCTATAGTTTGGACTGAATTCGAAAACTTTTCCTGGCTAAAAGTCTCCAAAGCAATGTTTTTACATGTTCGTTCTTTCTTTCTTTCTCTCTTTCTCTCTCTCTCTCTTTCTCTCTCTCTCTCTCTCTTTCTCTCTTTCTCTCTTTCTCTCTTTCTCTTTCTTCTTTCTTTTCTTTTCTTTTCTTTTCTTTTCTTTTCTTTTCTTTTCTTTTCTTTTCTTTTCTTTTCTTTTCTTTCCTGTCCTATTTTATAGCCCCCATTTTTTTCTTGATTTGGAAAGCCTAAAAATGAAGCTGTGATTTCTTAAAGCCCTACGAACTGAAGCTAGACAACTTAAACTTCAGAAGAAAATAATAGCAACCTATTTGCATACGTAAGCCACTTTGATACCGCCTATTGATGTATGGACTTCAGAGTAATATGGTCTATGTCAATTTTCCAGGATTTTCTTTCTTCCCTATTTTCTCTTCATAGGATATGAGATTTCACAACCTACTAAAAATGATCTTTCCTAATAACCTGGCACCTACCTTTCTAGGAATAAACCTTCCTAGTCATGAGAGATCAGAAAAAACTTGAGACCAGAGGCTCAATCATTTTCTTAAAAAATACTTTTTCTGAAAGATTTGAAAAAGAAAAGGGAAGGGGATGTGAAAGCAAAATAAATCTTAGAACCCCAAAATCACTAAGCCAAAGGGAAAAGTCAAGCTGGGAACTGCATCAGGCAAACCTACCTCACATTTTATTCTTAAATAAGATAGCTACCAAGGTAAAAAAGCTACATACCTCCCTCACAATTTGCCCATAAGGAAAATTCCTTGTGGGCAATGGACAGACACAACTCAAAGTCATCCCTCTGCTCACCTGAGACAAATGCATATGTGATTGCTTACTCTGTCCTGTTGTTTCACTAAGCCAGACTAAGGCATAAGTGACTATTCTTTACCCTCCTTTCATATCTAAATTGTGTATTCAGTGAAAGGTTAATCAGGGACTCAAAATAATGCAACTGATTGTCTCTTTGTCTACCTATGACCTAGAAGCCCCCTCTCCCACTCATAGTTGTCCAGCCTTTCCAGACCGAACCAAAACACATATTGATTGACATCTCATGTCTCCCTCAAGTGTATAAAACCAAGCTGTACTCCAACCACTTTGGGCATATGTGGTCACGACCTTCTGAGGTTGTGTCATGGACACATTCTTAACTTTGCAAAATAGACTTTCTAAATTGATTGAGATCTGTCTCAGATACTTTTTGGTTCATATCCTTTTTATTTCTAAATGCAGTTAGCAGCCCTCGGCTTAGGTTGAAAGAAAATACAGTGATTCTTAGGAAACAGGTTAACTGAATAGTTAGGATGGAATTGTTAGGAATGGAGACAGGGGAAGGAAATTCATGCTCTCAAAGATAGGAGCTAATACCAGGTATTTGAGCATGAAGGGACACCCTTATGTGTTTTTTTTTTTAACATGGCTAAAATTAGACTCTTGAGCTCTAGACCTCCCTTACCTCAGCAAAAAAAATCAGTTTCTCCCCAAGACTTCCCATTTCATTAAATGGTGCCCCTATCAATTTGTGTAGAGCCCAAAATCTAGGAGTAATTTTTAATTTTCCCGACTTCCCTTTTCCCCATCCGTGATGTATACAAAACAAATCCCAATCTCTGTTTCTCTTCTGCCACTACTCTGAGCTCTCCTCAGGTCACACCTAGACCACCCCTGGGCCTCACTGGCTCCACATGTGTGTGCCTGCCACCATGCACTGCATTCTGTGCATACCACAGGAGAGGCAGCTCCTCCCTTGGCCTCTGTACACTCTAAGGTAAAGTCTGCTGTGGCCCCTGCCCATTGCTGTAGGCTTATGTTGCACTGCTACTTGCTGGCAGTGCCTGATACTACTTGCTTGTGACAATGCTAATTCCCGCCCCAGGCCCAGTGCACTAGCTCAGTGTCTGCAACCTTTTTGGTACCAGGGACCCATTTTGTGGAAGACAAGTTTTCCACAGATGATGGAGGAATTTGGGGTCGTTTTAGGATGATTCAAGTGCGTCACATTTATTGTGCACTTTGTCTCTATTATTATTGCATTGTAATATATAAAGAAATAATTATGCAACTCACCATCATGTAGAATCAGTAGGAGCCCTGAACTTGTTTTCCTGCAACTAGATGGTCCCATCTGGGGTTGATGGGAAACAGTGACAGGTTATCAGGGTCTCATAAGGAACACACAACCGAGATCCCCTGCATGCACAGTTTACAATAGAGTTCATGCTCCTATGAGAATCTAATGCCACTGCTGACAGAAGGTAGAGCTTAGGTGGTAATGTGAACCATGGGGAGCGGCTGTAAATACACATGAAACTTCACTCACTCACCTGCTACTCACCTCCTGCTGTGTGGTTCAGTCCCTAATAGGCCACGGATGGGTACTGGTCTGTGGCCCAGTGGTTGGAGACCATTGTGCTAGCTGACACTTCCTACCCAGAATATTCCTTTCCTCCACTTCTTTACTGGCTCTGTCTAAACCACTTGTCTTTCAGTCTGACTTCAGCTCAAACCACTCCTACTCAGAGGCTCCTTCTTTGCCCTCTGAGTAGGAGATAGCCATGGGGTCATTCCCTGTCACATCACTCTACCTTATTGTTTGGAGAGTACTGGTTACATTTTGATACCTGGCTTTCTTGTTGGATGGCTTGCCTGTCTCTCTCCCTAGAATGTAAATGTGTGAGAGCAAGGACCTGGTCTCTCTTGGTGGCTCTTTCCCCAATAGCCGGAACAGTGCTGATTGAGATGGTGACACAGTGAATACCTCCCACTGGGAAGTGCATTGATGGCCTCTGACCGTGGAAGCTATCAACAGTGCCAGTATTGTTGGGCCTTCCTTCCTGCTCCCACCATTTCCCCTGGTTCTGACTGCTACCTTCCCTTGCCTTGCAGCCGCCCATGCCAACTTCCTTTCCCATCAACCATGCAGCAGCACAGCCCCATGTCCTCCCAGACCTCCTCCGTCAGCGGGCCGCTGCACTCCGTCTCCCTGCCGCTTCCACCGCCGATGGCCCTGGGCACTCCACAGCCCCCACCTGCCGCCTCCCCCAGCCAGCAGCTTGGCCCAGATGCCTTTGCAATTGTGGAGCGAGCCCAGCAAATGGTGGAGATACTGACAGAGGAGAACCGGGTGCTTCACCAGGAACTTCAGGGTTACTACGACAATGCTGACAAGCTCCACAAGGTGCGTGACGTCCCTGGGGAATGGGTAGGAGACAAAATTCTTTACCTGGTCATGGGGAGTTGAGGCACTGACTGACTTGCCAACATTGCACTAGGCTTCTTTTTGTACCAGACCCTGTGCAAGGCTTTTGGAAGACAAAAATAAATATGACTCAGTTCCTGCCTTGGAGGAGCTTACATTCCAGAAAGGGGAGAGAGTTGCATAAGCTAATACCTGCAGTAAGAGTATGAGGGATCTACTGTAGGAACAGCAGATGTGGCCCTCAGAGACTCAGAGGCTAAGTAGGATTTCCTCACATGTACAAGTGGAGAAGAGGGAACACAGAGAGTAAATAACACAGAGGAGGTCAGGAGTGGTGGCCCATACCTGTAATCCCAGCACTTTATGAGGCTGAGGCAGGTGGATCACTTAAGCCCAGGAGTTTGAGACCAGCATGGGCAACATGGCAAGACCCTGTCTCTACAAAAATTACAAAAGTTAGCCAGGCATGGTGGCCCATGCCTTGTAGTCCCAGCTACTCGGGAGGATCACATGAGTTAGGGAAGCAGAGGTTGCAGTGAGTCAAGATCGCTCCACAGCACTCCAGCCTGGGTGACAGAGTGAAACCCTGTCTCAAAAATAAAAAATAAATAAAACCACAGGGAAATGAAGTGAGAGATACCAAATTTTCTTTTAAATATAGGAATCTCAGGAACCTTGTGTGTCATGTTCATTTCATTAGCTGGTCTCTGCATAAAGCAGTCTTGCCTCAACATGAGAGGGTCAAGAGTATGAGTTACTATGTGCTTTCTGCATGCTTGTGACTTATCAGGTGGGGAGATGCTGAGTAATTCCAGCCTGTGTAGTTACTGTTGGAATATTTAAATGTATAGCAGCCATTATTCTTAAAGATTTATGCTGAGAGCCATGTAAATAGGGGAACATCCAACAAGAACAAGCTGTTGCTGGGCAGTGATTTCATGATGACTTGTAAGTCAGCATCTGATGTGCTGCAGGTAGGATGCAAGGGGGGCGGGCAACGGTAATAGGGTGTTTTAGGGCAGGACAACCATAGAGCACTCGAGTTTCCTTTTTGGGAGTGAGGAGGCATGAGTAGTAGTGGTGATCCTTTAAGAGTCTAAGTGCCAGGCTCTTCCCTTGGGAATAAAGGGCTTCTGTAAAGTTAAAGTATAGGAGTATAAACCCCACCTGCCTACAAGAACATTGCCACTTTGGCTGTGTGTGACAATTAATGCTCCGGCTGGCCCATTTAGTGTTGATGAGTTAGTGTTGATTTCACAGGTAAAGCTGGTCATTTTGCTGGTCAAGGGTTTTAGAGTAGTAGGCTGTACTTGCTTCCTGAGGGCTATCAGCGAGCAGTGGATTTGATGGTGCATATCTTCACAGACAATCTGTCCCAGCATGTTTGTGCAGAGCTTCTGCTCAAAAGGTCTGGAGCTCCCTGGAGTCAAGACCAGACTTGTCTCAGGGAGCTCTGGCTGCCTTTATTGAAGGGGGAAAATGAGAGCCAGAAACAAATAAGGGCCGCCTGAAGATTGCAGCCTCACTCCTGCCCCTTCTTGTACCCTTAGAAGTTGGGAAATAGGCATGTTGTCTCATGGCCCTCAGCCTATAAGATGCTGCACAGGTCCAGTCTTGCCTCTGACATTTTTGTGCAGCTTCTTTTTTGGTATGGGCCGAAAATCGGGAAGCGCTGACTCAGCACTTCTTGGGAAACAAGCATTTCTTTCTTCTCCTAATGAAGCTCCAAGGCGGACACATTAAGAAGCTATACAGACCCACTTGAAGGCAGAGTTTGATGCTGGAGTTTTTCTCATGGCTGTTTCTGAAGAGATACACAATGGTGCAGAAAATTGGAGATCTTGTTATTTTTCATTGTCTTTTTATTAACATGTACTTTTTATTGACCTATAACAATATATCTCTTTCTTGATTTTGATGTACATTTCCATTTTGAAAACTAAAATGGCTCAACCTCCCAGTGTGTCAATATCCCTTCACAGAATGGTTCTTAAAAGTTGTGGCCAAAAGGATTTTGATGACTTCTGGAAGAAGAGACTAATCAAAAGCAGTGTCCCTTCTCGAACCCAAAGCTTTTTCAGTACCTTGAATGTTATAAATTATTCTGCAAGTACAGTAAGTCCTCATTTAATATCATCGATAGGTTCTTGGAAACTACAGTTTTAAGCAAAACCAGTTTTTTCCTCATCAACATCACAGTGAAATGACGTTGAAGAAAATGACATTATTTGGAGGCCTGCTGTGCGTTATTTCACTTAAAGTTGCAGTTTCCAAGAACCTGTCGATGATGTTATATGAGGACTTATGGACTACATCGATCTATCATATGTAAAAATGGAATTATCAATTAAAAACCTAAGATTTTGATAGATATTTGCCATACTCATCACAAGTTGGATAGCTGTTCTTGACAACAGGGACCAAGAGACACAAGAGTTGCTTGAACTTTGTGGCGTAACATTTTGTACGTTGCATTCCTAACGTCACCCTAGTCCTCGATCTATCCTCATCCCTAGCCTTGCCGCTCAGCATTCTTAGCAGCTGCCTGAGCCTTAATCTGGGTAGAGAGTGTTCAGTTGAGCTGAAAACTTTGCTTCTCAGCGATGATAGCTGCCAGTTCTTCTGGCATGGATGTGACCCCTGTTTTGGGTGGGCCTGCTGCACGATGTTGTAGGATATGACCCTGCTATGCCCACAGTATTGAAGGACTATGTTAACTTCTCTTCCCAGGTCCACAGGGTTGTGGTTTCAAAGGCAACAACTTCCTGGTGCCATACCTCTATTCACCTCCCCCCCATCCAGGATCCTAGAGTTCTTTGTCTAACTTTACCACGAGTGGGAAGGTAGACTGCTTAGGTAAACTTCCTTTGTTTAGAAAGCTGGTGAAAAGGGCAGCCAATCCAATATCAAAGTCAAAGATCAATCACACCAGTGGAATTTTGAAAGAACTCCTCTCATGGGACAAGAACTTGAATGAGGTGGGAGTAACTCCTAGATTTAAAGTCCCCCTACCCCTTACCTATGCGAACTCCATCTCAGGACTCCCTGCCACGACAGGTGGGAGCTCACTCTCTCTCTATTTCTCTTTCTCTCTTTCTGCCTAACAAATCACTTTTCTGCAAAGCTCTTTGGGTCAAATATTTACTTGAAAAATATCACTGGTACCAGGGTCTCCTACTCATTCTTGGGTGAGTGAGATCCCAAGGACCTGGAAAAAATTCATTCAATAGGGGAACAGTGCACGCCTTTTGGGATGCCCCTGCAACCTACTCATGTCCCCTGTGTTACAGTATCATTCCCATCTGAGTTCCTTGCAGCATTGGGAATGCTTTGGCCCTTGCAGAGATGCATTGCAAGGGCAGAACTAAAAATAGATGAATTTTTAATTGCAGAGTTTAGCTGATGCAAACTGTGCCAGGAAAAGCAGAAGAGAACAATTAAACTCACAGACTATAAAATCCTAGCCTAGATATGAAGACCCTGTTTCCAAAGAGGCACAAGTAGTGATTATCACTATTAATGTTGGAATGATTGTCGAGGATCCCCAGAAAGAGCTGTTGTTTTCAGTCTTATCTTTTGGTTATGTTTTTTTCATCTTTTTCCTCCTAGTTTCCCCGAAACTTAATTAACAGATGGAGTTTCTACCAGGGCTGTACTGTAGGCTGTTGAGTGGGTTGGCCTCGAAAGCCATCAGGGAATAGATGGGCATTTGATGGGAGAGGGCCAAGCATTGACAGTTACCTGGGGCTTGCTTTAGTGAAGACCCTCTTTTGTGAGTGAAACAAAGGTGGCTTTGATTGGGCAGTCTGTGGCTTGCACAGCAGGCCTTTCTTTGGTCCTGGGCATCCCTGAGTGGTACACGTGAAGGTGCTCAGGGAGAAAACCAGTAGTATCTGGAGCTTAGATGGCTGAGATTTTCTCAGGGCCTTCTCTGTTGATTTGCTTATTACAACAGTGCCAGTGGAAGTCATGCAGGGCTTTCTGCTCTGCTTATAGTTCTGTGTCTGGGACATTGAGTGTATTTCTGTGATTGCAGGGATTCTTACTGTCTGGCCTAAGAGCTCCCTGACATCTAGGCTGAAAAGGAGAATGAGAGCTGGCAAAGTAAACTGGGATTCCCTTCCTGCACCATACTCAGAGTCTGAGCTGATCTGGATAGTTTTTGTATCAAACCCGCCTGTCTAACCTTCCCTGTATCTTTAACAAATGTCAGAGGGTGCTTAAGATGTTCTGAACATGGAGAAATAGAAAGAAGAAGGTGTGGTTTTACTCTGAAGGATTGTACGGTCAGAAATAAAAAGCTCTAGTCTTAAAATTCTAAACTGAGTCTATTTCAAGTTCCCATTCCTTAGTAATTCTTGTGTCATGTCTCTGAAAGGAGGTATTCATCTTTTACTTGAATGCTTCCAGAGAAGAGAAGCTCACTAATGGGTATACCGCACTTCTAGAAAATGTAGTTAGGAAATGTTTCTTTATGTTGAGTCAAAAATCTGCATCTGGGCTGGGTGCAGTAGCTCACGCCTATAATCCCAGCACTTTGGGAGGCCAAGGCAGGTAGATCAGTTGAGGTCAGGAGTTCGAGACCAGCCTCGCAACATGGTGAAACCCCATCTCTACTAAAAAAAAAAAATTGCCAGGCATGGTGGTGCATGCCTGTAATTCCAGCTGCTCAGGAAGCTGAGGCATTAAAATCACTTGAACCTGGGAGGTAGAGTTTGCAGTGAGCCAAGATTGAACCACTGCATTCCAGCCTAGGTGATAGAGTGAGACTCTTATTAAAAAAAAAAAAAAAAACCCTGCATCTATTTAACTTCCTACATTTAGTCATAACTCTGCTTCTGTAACCATACTTTCTTATTCCCATTTGTATTGTTATAACTGAATATCTGAGATTGGATAATTTATATAGAGAAGTGATTTATTTAGCTCATGATTCTGCGGGCTGGGAAGTTTGAGAAGCATGATGCTGGTATCTTTTTGGCTTCCAGTACAGGCTTTTATGCTGTGTCACAACATGGCAGAAGGTGGAAGCAGACATGTATGAAGAGGCAAAACTTGAAGAGGATGTCCTTCTTCATAACAACCTGCTCTCATAAGAAGTAATGCATACCTGCAAAAACCAATCTAGTCTTACTACTGCAAGAAAGACACCAAGCCATTCACAAGGGACCCACCCCCATGACCCAAATACTTCCCACTAGGCCCCACCTCCCAATGCCACCACACCAGGAGTCAAATTTCAACATGAGTTTTGCTGGGGACAAACCATATCGATAGCACACACTGAAGGAGATTAACCTTTCTCTACCATTACAGCTATCGGTTCTCATAGGAATTACCTTGTTCTGAACTAAGACCTTTGTTTTTTCTCTAGGTCCCTTCTAAGCACATAACCACGTCAGGTCTTGATTGTTTTAAGATATAAGATAGTAAACTAAATCATGGTAGGCATCCTGAAGTTTCCTTTTACAGTATGCAGAGGGAAATTCTTCGAGTGAAAGGAAAGAATGCATGATTCAGTGTCCAAGTCTGTCTTTAGGAGTTATACATTTAAAGATTAAGTAAGTGTTTTGTCATGGGCAAGGCATAATTCCAGGACAGTAAGAGCTATTCTACCCTCAAGGAGTTAGTAGTCAAATCAGAGATGCAAAATGCAGATGCAGATTAGAATTCCAGTGAGAGAAATACAACAGATTCAAAAAAATACTATAAAATCAGACCAAGGGAAGGGTCCCTGTGGGTGTAGTTAAGGAAGCCTCGCTAGTTGTCCTGGGCTGGAAGCCTGAACACCACTCTCACAGTGGATGCCTCAGAGTGTGATACTCTCAGCTTCCCTGGTGACTTGGTGATGGCCTTTGGTGTTGATGTGGACTATCCCTGTGACATGCCCAGCTGTCTGAAAACAAAGGCCACCCTTTATAGATAAGAGCAAAGAAATGTTAGTATGTCTGGGAGCCATCTCTTTTGTAAATAA